TTCACCAGAGCACCCCGCAAGAGATGATGAGCTTTGATGCAGATGGGTCCCAGGTTGTGGCCCTCAGTTATGCTTGAAGTGGCAACAGCTGACCACAGGCAGAAATGAAATGTGATACAAAATCCACATTCAAGGATGTGGAGAAACTGGTCAGGGCCAGTTGAACAAAGATCATCCAGAAACCCAGTGAACAAGGATTATCTAGAAACAGACAGAGATACTTAACAAGTAACAAGGCTGAGAACAGAGTTCAGGGATAGGGATGAGCAAATTGGCCTGAGTTTAGGTCATGGGCTGTTCATTAAATCCATCCAAGTCAGAAAATTGTGAATTACATTAAAGTCTATGGGCGGGTGAATCTTGAAAATCAATTCTGCCCTTTAAGACTAATAGACAAGGTAATGTCAAATAAAGAGCACTGCCATGGAGGACATACCAATGCAGAAAAAAACAACAACAACGGAACAGTGGCTTGAAAGGTTACATGGGAAAAACACCAATTCTTTTCATTTTTCTGCTTGGAGGATGATGGTAAACGGTACCAGGTGTTATGGAGCTGTATGATTCCAACGGACAGCATCAGTGACACTGTATTTGCGCATCACATATTGTGCATATGTAATGGATTTTTTTTTAAATTTTACATTATAATATAATTATGTATTATGTTTCAGCATTACAGCTTGGCCTGAATTGCCTTGTGGAAGTAGGAGCCACAACAGTTTAATAAAATGTCAAAACAACATGCAAAAACACTTCAAAACTAAGGATGAGCTCTGGGTTCACGTTGAACATGAGCTCCACCCAAACCCAGCCTGTTCGCAATTTGGTGAATGGGTAAAAAATGGCCAAATCTGGTGATTTCCAGCTGAAGAAGCCTGAAGTGTGTCATTTAGCAGCGGTATCACTACACCCACTAAAATGGCAGATTTCCGCAGGGAACCTGGGTGACATCATTGAACAAATGTTACATCACCCAGGTTTCCCGGTGCTGTTTACATTTAAGCAGCCAGGAACTGTCATCTGCAATGGGAACCACTGTGGATTGAAAGTTGATTGCCCCTACAGTGCTATATATAAAGTTCCAACATGGAATATATAGCAATCTGCTTTTATATCAGTGTTATATTATTGGCCCTTATGAAACAAATAAATGTAAAAACCAATTCACAAAAAAATAGCACACAGGTTAACACTGGCTTTAATTGGGAGTTTTAATAGCTACTGAGGAAAGAAAGAGCAGGGGCTGCCGGAGATGTTAATAAAATAACATTTCATAAGATAAAATAATGATTTACAAGATACACTGTACAACTTGATGAGATTTATGTTTGTGAGTAGAACATTTTTATGAAAACATTTTTAATGAGGTAAAATAAAAAAGTGTTGTAATTAATAATACATTCATCTTAGTAAAGCCTAATTTATTGCTCACATAAAACTGCACATACATGCAGCTTACCTTCAGCTTGTTTTCCTTGCGATTAAGAATGACTGCAGTAATTTGTTGGTCCATAAATAAAAGGATTGTGATTAGAATTGCTGGAACACCAGAAAGTAAGCACACCCACCACGGGTTTCTTCCAAACGGAAACACAAACCAACTTCTGTTTGGATTTGTTGGCTTTTTAAGACAAAAAAAATATATTAAAACTACAGCTTTCTAACAGCACATATTGATCTTTTCCCCTCAGATTGGCCAGTTACAAAAACCATTTCCATGCAGATTTCAATGAGAAGCTCCCCCAAAATGTGCCTTTAACCACATACTGGAGTTTATAACTTAAGGCCTTCTTCACACCTATCCAGTGCATAGCGGTGCATGTTAACATATTTTGTTCATTAACTTAGAACTGCACACCAACCTCTAAGAGGTTGTAGTTGGTTGGGGGGTGTGCAGTGCTGGCATTTGTTGCTTTATACATTTTTATTCACTGATATACTGGGTTTGCTTTGAATTTCAATAAAGTCTGCAGCATTGGAATTCTCTGGATAGTGCGATCTGTTCGTATACTGCTGCAGCCTAATAGTTAGATGTGAAAAAAGTAGCCCATATTTTATAGAGATTCTATTCTTTTATTGCGAAGCAACACCTGTGTTAAATATTGCTGATCACAATCCTCTGCAGTAGGGGTCGTCCGATGTTTATTTTTTAGAACCAATACTGATTATGGGCCACCTTGCAGGCCGATAACCGATATCAGGTACAGATATTCAGATTACATCCAGCTGCACCAGCAGCTTAATATAAATAGCAGGCAGTTGCCTGATATTGGTCGCCCGCTACTGAGCTTTGGCCCAGTGGCGGATCCAAGAAGGGGGGGGCAACGGGGCAATTGCCGAGATAGAGAGCCGCTCCCTGCCTCTCCTAACCGCAGTAGTAGTGACACCAGCATCCCAGCACAGCAGCCGACCCCCCCCCCCCCGTGGATTACTCTGAAAAGCAGATTACTCTGAAAATCTAATTTGACGGCCCTGCTCTGCCTCCGCCCTCCTTTGCTTACTTTTGGCTGGGAGGGAGAGTGCAGCACCATCATTGGCTGCCTGGCTAGTTTCAGCAGAGCGGGAAGGGACCTGCAGAGGAGGCACATCAAGGCTGCTGGGGGCTTTACATGGAGCAGACATGGATGCTCCCCCCCATTGCCCCCCCCCCCTGGATCCACCACCTGGAGAGGAAGAAGAGGGCATGAGGACAGAGCACATCACCACTGTAAGTCCCCTTTCTTACACCGCTGATCTCCGCACTGCGTCACCTAATTGACCACCGCACTGCGTCACCTTACTGACCTCTGCACTGCGTCACCTTACTGACTTCCGCACTGCGTCAACTTACTGACCTCCGTACTGCGTCACATTACTGACCTCCACGCTGCGCCACATTACTGACCTCCACGCTGCGTCACATTACTGACCTCCACACTGCGTCACATTACTGAGCTCCGCACTGCGCCACATTACTGACCTACGCACTGCGTCACACTACTGTATTCCGCGCCCTGCATCACATTACTGACCTCGGCGCCTTGCGTCACCTTACTGACCTCGGCGCCTTGCGTCACCTTACTGACCTCGGCGCCTTGCGTCACCTTACTGACCTCCACACTGCATCACATTACTGACCTCCGCACTGCGTCACATTACTGACCTCCGCACTGCGTCACCTTACTGACCTCCGCACTGCGTCACCTTACTGACCTCCGCACTGCGTCACCTTCCTGACCTCCGCGCTGCGTCACCTTACTGACCTCAGCGCTGCGTCACCTTACTGACCTCCGCGCTGCGTCACCTTACTGACCTCAGCGCTGGGTCACCTTACTGACCCCCGCGTTGCGTCACCTTCCTGACCTCCGCGCTGCGTCACCTTCCTGACCTCCGCGCTGCGTCACATTACTGACCTCCGCGCTGCGTCACTTTACTGAGCTCCGCGCTGCGTCACCTTACTGACCTCCGCCCTGCGTCACATTACTGAGCTCCGCACTGCGCCACATTACTGACCTATGCACTGCGTCACACTACTGGATTCCGCGCCCTGCATCACATTACTGAGCTCCACACTGCATCACATTACTGACCCCTGCACTGCGTCACATTACTGACATCCGCACTGCGTCACCTTACTGACCTCCGCACTGCGTCACCTTACTGACCTCCGCACTGCGCCATCTTACTGACCTCCGCACTGCGCCATCTTACTGACCTCCGCACTGCGTCACCTTACTGACCTCCGCACTGCGTCACCTTCCTGACCTCCCCACTGCGTCACCTTACTGACCTCCCCACTGCGTCACCTTACTGACCTCCACACTGCGTCACCTTACTGACCTCCACACTGCGTCACCTTACTGACCTCTGCGCCTTGCGTCACCTTACTGACCTCCGCACTGCGTCACATTACTGACCTCTGCACTGCATCACATTACTCACCTCCACACTCTGAGTTTATTATTATCGCTCCCACCCTCCGCCGCTCTGCTGGGCCTGGCCGGCCGCATCGAACAGTCAGCAAAGAACCCAAAGCAGAGGGTCAGGCAAATTGGGCAGCCGTCTCAGCCCATGCCGGGGCTTTGCAGCTGCCTAATTTGTGTGAGTGCAGACCGCCCAAGGCTGACAGCGGCGGCAAGATCCCAGAAGGAGAAGCCAGGGGAGTGCGTTGTACACCGGTGGGAGAGGGGGAGAGCTGGGGGGGGG